ATATCTCATCCCAATGTTATTTTTTAAATTCTAAATTTATGCCAATTTACAAGGCTAAGTTTGAGCCTGAAGCCAAGTTTGAGCCTGAAGCCAAGTTTGAGCTTAATTAAACTTTGCAAGGCCAAGCTTGAGCCTGAAGCCAAGTTTGAGCTTAATTAAATTTTACAAGGCTAAATTTGAGCTTAAAGCCAAGTTTGAGCTTAATTAAATTTTACAAGGCCAAATTTGAACCTGAAGCCAAGTTTGAGCTTAATTAAATTTTACAAGGCTAAATTTGAGCTTAAAGCCAAGTTTGAGCTTAATTAAATTTTACAAGACTAAGTTTGAGCCTAAAGCCAACTCCGAGCTTCATTAAATTTTATATAAAACCAAGTTTGAGCCTGAAGTTGAGTTTGAGCTTGAATTAACCAAGTTTTGAATTCACTATTCAGACAACAAAACTATAGATATAGGAAGGTAGAATAATTCTCAAAGATAAGATCCTGACTCGAAATAAGGTACACTTGATCCTTAACATAAAACTCACGTCCATAAGTTAAACACAAGTTTAAAACAACTCCAAAAAAGGTCATACGACACAACAAGATGGATCAGGAAAATTTATATATTGATTATAATTGAGAAATACATCAAGAAACACAAAGATAACATAAATTAAACACAGTTAACATAGATTCACACTCTCAAATTACACCATCACCCCCTTCTGAACGAGACTCTCAGTCAGACACAAACCTTCCATTCACTACATCTTTGTCAATATCAAACCGAGAAGCATCAAGCATAGGGAAGAATAACTTAAACTGACGATAGCTTTACTAAATCCACTGTCATGCTCAATCACCACCTGGCGTTGAGCATCAATCAACTCCTCATTCAACTTGCTTCCAATATCCTTTGACTGTTGCAGCTCATTCTTCAAATCAACACTAGTCGCCCTAACTCGGTTAAGGTCTTTTGCCAAGTTATTGATATTTCTAACATTGGCAGAAATAATTCCACGACAATCATCAATGCATTTCTCTGCACGCTTCAATTTGTTTTCAGTAACACCAATTTTCATGGAAGCTTCATCCCTCATGCTTTCTTGAAAAGTGAGAAAGTTTATATCAAACTCTACTCGTAGAGCATAGAATTTATCCACCATATCATCAATCTTTGCTGCGTAAGCTTCGTTGGTTTTACTAGCTTCTTCTAGGGAGGAGATACACTTGATCAGTTTTTGATGGACTTCAAACAACTCAAGTACCATCGACATTACATCTTAAAATAGCGTTGGTTTTTCTAACAGTATTTGCGTCAGCTATTACCCGACGCTTATTTTTGCAACTATTTCACTGTTTTCTTGTAGTGCTAATTCCCCTTCTCGTGCTCTCTTTCACAATCTCTCATACCATTATCACACCCTTTCAATCCATCGTTTGAGACTGCCATTCGCCACCCCCTATTACATGCTCTCTTTAGTTTTACATTTTGGGTTTTGGTTGGCTGGTTGTGTTATGATTAGTTTTGGGTTTTGCAGTTCGTTGCATATGACTTCAGTTGCTAAAATGTTTGTTTTACGCACTACAAAAAAAAGTCAATTTAGCCACCGAAATTAGCGACCGATTTTTTCCGTCGCTAATAGCGACATAATTAGCGATCGAATCTGATTTGGTTGCAAGTTTTATTTAGCGACCAATTTAGCGACCGAATTTTTAGTGGCAAATAATCGGTCGCTAAAAATAATAATTATTGATTAAAATAGCGACGGAACGGTTTTGGTCGCTAAAAAAATAAAAATATTATTATTTATAATAATTTTAGCGACTAAATTAAAATCGTTCGCTAAAAAAATAAAAAAATAATTATTATTTATAATAATTTTAGCGACCAAATTAGAATCGGTCACTAAAAAAATAAAAATATTATTATTTATAATAATTTTAGTGATCAAATTAAAATGGGTCGCTAAAAGAAAAACAAAATTATTATTTATAATAATTTTAGCGACCAAATTAAAATCGGTCGCTAAAAAAATAAAAAATATTATTTATAATAATTTTAGCGACCAAATTAAAATAGGTTGCTAAAAAAATAAAAATATTATTATTTATAATAATTTTAGAGACCAAATTAAAATCAGTCGATAAAAAAAATATTATTATTTATAATAATATTAGCGACCAAAATAAAATCGGTCGCTAAAAAATAAAATATTATTATTTATAATAATTTTAGTGACCAAATTAAAATCGGTCTCTAAAAAAATAAAAAAAAATTATTATTTATAATAATTTTAGCGACCAAATTAAAATCGGTCGCTAAAAAAATAAGTATTATTATTTATAATAATTTTAGCGACCAACTTAAAATCGGTCGCTAAAAAAATAAAAAATAATATTATTTATAATAATTTTAGCGACCAAATTAAAATCGGTCGCTAAATGTAAATTTTTTAAAAAATTTAGAAATATATTTCTTTTAAATGAAAGGAAATATAAAAATATATAATATTATTTTTATAATGATAAAAATATTAATGATAAGAAATAAAAATCAATACCCTCCCAATAAAATTAATTTGTTTTTTAAAATAATACAAATTATATAATTTAAAATAGATAATTAATATATCATGATGTATTAAAAACTGAGAAACATAATGCTATAAATTAAAATTAAATAATAATCTTTTTCATTGAATCTTTTTTTTATAAAAATAGACTAATTGAAATAATAATTTATCTAGAAAATTTATTTATTTTCTCTTGAGAAATTTATTTCTCTTTTACCATGCTTAATATTTTATTACATTACTAGATAATATGAAAATACATAATTTATTGTGCTTTCCAATTTTGTTAAGATAAATAAACTTTTTTTCATAAATCTTATTTTATTTTCATTAATATTTCAAAATTAACTTAAACATCTAGTTCAATTGATATAAACACGTTAGTTCCATTAAATTAAAAATAATTGGCTTATATAAGGATTAATAAAACTTTAACAAACAAATCTAAAATTGATAAAATATAATTAATGTTCCATTAGTTTAATAAATAAAAATTATAAAATAAATTATATATATAAATATATACACCAATAACACATGAGATCAATTACTTAAAATACGTTATACCATCTATCTT